AGTCGAAATATAAAATCTTTATTATTATTCTATAGTTTATCGTTTATAGAAGTATGAAAACTCTATAAGTATGAAAAAAACATCTTAAAATTTCAGACTGACCTCTTTCAGTCTAGACGAAAAATATCTTGACATAAATACGAGTTTTAAGAATGGTCAAAGCTGTTTTATTTTTTTAGATGATTTGATTATTGCATCGTAACCTGAAATACAAACAATATATTTACTTAAAAAGATTGACAATGTTCTCCAAACATGCATCATTCAAGATATAAATTTTAGAATTGATATCTTTTGTGTTTAAAAAAAATTCGCAGATTAAATCTTTCTTGGTTTGTCATACTGAGAGAACTCCTTAATTTTTTTTATTCGCTGGCTCACTATAAACATTTTCGATTGTGCCTTTTTTGGCATATTCTGAACTAATGTTCTTGTATAGATAAGGGCATTTCTTTATTGCCTGAATAAAAGTTGTAATGTTTGCCATTTTCTTGCAATGACGCTACACTGCTTACAGTGTCATACGCTGAGTATAGTGACGAATCAAGGTAACGATGAAATCATGAAGCTATCATTTTTTAGGAGTCATCTACTGTTTTAACCCTTTGCACTCGGAAGTATGTCATTAGAAATACTTAACATTTTTTAACTAGACGAAGATGATATTTTTTTAAATTAACTCAAAGAGAAATCACAAGTAAATTGAGAAACAAAGCTTTTTTATCCCAATATGCATTATGCACGGTTGAATATTAAGTATCAAATTTTATAATTTTACTTCATCAAATCAAGTGATGACTGAGAGTCACCTCTCGAGTGCAAAGGGTTAATTGTCCGCAATTATTTGCAACGAGGTGAGCCGTTTAAGTGTGTACGGTGGAATATCTCGTAAAGTATTGAAATTAGAAAAAAAATGTTTTTACAAAAGTTGTTTGGTATGAGGGCAAACATTATGTGGTATTAATGTTATTTTCATAGCTAGATAGATGAGTAAGATATCAATGTCAAGTTAGTTTTTTAACGCGTTGAATGCCATGGGGGTCACCGGTGACCCCTAACAAAATCGAATTACTATAGTTCACACAGTTAAACCATGATTATTTGAAAACATTTCTATATTATAAATAATGCTAGCTAATGTGCTGACATTCAGCTAGTATTATTGTTAGAACCTGTAATAATAACAATGCAATTCAGTCAAATGATTCAGTATTGTATTTTTTCCATTTCAAGTATTTTGTACTATAAAATCGTACGGCATTCAACGTATTAAATGGAATTATATATTTTTTTTATAATATAATAGTGGGTTTTGAGACGAATTCAACGATGTGAAACATGATATTATTCCATGTGCTAAATCATAAATTAGAGCCATCGGAGACGTCACCGCGTACCGTGCGCGAGCACATCGATCTACACTGCGTTACTCACGCGAGCTAAGCTGGCCTTTGGTTCAAAAATAAAAAGGGGCAACGGGACTCGGCTCGCGGCTCGGCCAATAAAAAAAGTCGCGCCGAAACTAATTCCGACATTACTATCAGGCCGAGCGCTGCGGGTGGACGTCTCCCCTTGCCCCTCTTCACTTTTAAGCCATAGGTCGACTCGGCTCACGTGAATGACGCATTGCACATTTTCCTTTATACCTTTTCACTAATATCTTTGACTTTGAATGTCCTCGTACGGAAAAGATAATGCTGAAAATTGACTATTCAAAACCAAGGGTATTGGACGCACTCATTGATTTAGTAGACGGAATAATGTGTCGCATATCGTTCAATTCGTCTCAAAACCCGCTATTACATTATAGAAAAAAATATATGATTCCATTTTGAAAAATTAACTTGACATTGATATGTTCCCCACTGATCTAACTATGGAAATAACATTACCACTAAAACTACTGGATGGGTTAAATTGACCTGCATCAGAATATTTATTTTATAAGTATTTCAATTACGATGGCGTTTTTGCGAAAGATTTTTAATTAAATTTGTGTATTTATAGAGATACGAGACTAGGAAACTTTGAATCTAAAGAAACGTGTTGTTCTAATTTCTATAAAAAATTGGTGGTATGTTATTCTAACTGCTTGGTAGTTTTAGTGTTAATGACACATAATGTTTATACCAAATAATTTATACCAAATGTCTCTTTATAAAAAAAAATAATTTTTGTCAAAACATTTTTTTTTTGTAACTTCAATACTTTACAAGATATTCCACCGTATACATTTAAACGGTTCACCTTGTATATAAACAAATACCCCATTGATCTGCACGATTAACTCTTATCGGTTGTCAGATTCTCAGACCCGAGTTGCTGTTAGATTGTCGAATGTGGAGGAATGGTTTGTTATGTCACACAAGTGACAAACATTCGCTACGGTACATAGTGTAATTCCACACGGGGGAATGGCATATGTCCGATAAGGGTTGATTATTGTTAAAGAATATATTATTTGTGTATGATGAAAGACTCCAGAATATTCTTGCTATTCACACATCAGTTCAATGTAAAAAGATATAGCAAAGAATAGGACACGGCAATGTTTATTTAACTCGCTGAATATTAACAAATTAATATTGAGGACATTTATAAAATTGAAGTGTTTATAAGTAATTATATTTGAATATTTGAAAATCATCATTAATTTATTCCTTAATGCCATGTTCGTCTTAAAAAGTATACAACTTATGATATCACCAATGAAAGTGAGCACATATTAGTTAATGATAAATAAATGATATTTTTACTAGCAAATGTACACTGTTCCTATTTACATTAAGTAATGAGTATATTGGAAACTAATAGTTCTACTACGGGGACACGGTTCAATGACCTGTCAAGAATTAATCTCAAATATAATACATATTGTCAATATTGAATTTCGTTGTTACAGATAAATTAAAAATATTAACATATTCGCGACCGTACATAACTTCCAAAAGTTATAGCTGAATACTGCAATGAAATAACAAGTATCTGATATTTAACTACAGATTTTGAAATGATGTAAAATTACTTTACCAACATTTTTCTAAAAAAATTAAAAATGGTAGGACTACGTATTCAGCTAAAAAATTTTAAATGATATCGAAGTATGTTGCCGGTCTCCAATGTGTTAGCTTGTATGAATAAGACTTCATTAACACGTTGTCTGTAACATTAGTCAATAGCGACCCATGTATAGTTTTTGCATGATGATGATCGATCAACAGTAATCGGTATATGATTTTTGTGCAAATGATTGTTATAGACGGCTGGTGGTGTAGTGGAAAAATTAACAAATTACAAACGACAGTCAACGTGCTAACGGAAGTATAAACATTTCATAAAATACTTTTATAAAAAGTATGAAACAATAACAAATTGAAATAGAATTGAATTAAAATCTTCATTCTACATAGTGCCTGTTTTATCCGTATGTTCTTATAAAAGCAGTTTAATATGGAAGAGAACATTACGCGCTGTAAATAATTTTTGCACAGTTGAAGTAGTAAAGAAATATCAAAGTTATGTACATTTTTTAAAAATAGAACTTCATATTTTTTATCTATGATATGATACTACCGCTTGAGAAAAATTTAATACTTTATTACACATTTATATTATTCTATGTCAAGCTTAAAATTTTGAAGAATCCGAGTATAGTTAACATCTGTTACATGTTTTAAGTCAATTAAACCTTACTTGACTTTATTTATTGCTAATAGAAACCAGATTATTCAACTGTAAACAAATTCTAAAAGCTATAAATGAATGCAGTGCATTTTAATTCATTTATGTGTTTAATTTTAATTTTATTAAAATTATTACTTTAAATACTCAGGTTCATCATTTGTTGAATTTGTTTTAATAAAGATAATCATATTATGGATAAAAAAATGTAAAATCTTTTTTGAAGAAATTAAGTTGACTTTGAAATCATTGTCATTACTTTACATACTGAAAATATTAAATAATCTCTTCCATATTAACAAATTTTTGTAAGAACATGTTTTGATACATTTTGTTTCTTATAAGATAATTTACTGTGTCCAGACAATACAGACACTCTGTATATAATTCTATGTACAATTAATAATGATAATATATTGGGCTACATAGTAACTATTTAAAAAATGTTAAGGGCTAGCATAAAAAGATACTAATTTAAAAGGTGCGTGCTTGAATAACATTGATAAGCGCTAAACTCAAGCAAACGTCTGTTTACCTAAAATTTTGCTTGAATTGCAATAGTATCTTATTATATCTTTACTGTCGACTATAATATGTAGACTGTGGATCTTTATAAATTCATAACAGATAGTACTAAATGAAATTCAGTAAAATAAAACTTTTTATTTTCGTTCTATCTAATCTCTAGTTTTACTAAGTAGTCTTTAAAATTAAAAATTTATAAAACATCCGCAGTCCAGTAGTAGAGTTCAAATTATTTAACTCTTGGTCAGCAATGACAGGATCTGTCTGTTCAGAAACTGGTTTCATTAATCCTTTTTCTATAGCGTTTATTGTTAATAATTAAATAGTCTGAACAAATAAACGCATTTTCAAAACAAACTTTATGAATATCATCCAACGCTATATTATTATACATTTATCTTGGACTGGCATCACATTTAATTTACTTTTATTTTAGACTAACACCGTACAGTTAGAGTATAATTTTCGGACGGAGAGAAGTTTGTGCACATCGACGAAATAAACACATTCAAATATGTCATTAGCACACATATTTAAATTGTTCAAATAAGTGCGTGTACAGTGGAACAATTTAATATTATCAAATACAATGTATTTGTAATTGTGAGGAACTAAACTTAACTTAAGTTAAAGTATGTCGATGAAAAGTTGACCAACTACCAACGAGTGGAAAAGCACAAAGTCATTGGGTATCGTCCACTCACTTTACCTCATCCCTTTTAAGGAGACGTGCAACACATGATATTCTAAGTTGTTGGTAAAAAGTTTCACAGAAGGTCTGTTTGGTCGGAATAGAAGCAGCTTGTTCATTTTCAGATACATTTTCGACTACGGTCATATATACTATTCCGATCGCGTGACGATGAAAGTAAACAAATCATACAGTGAAAGACTCCTCTTACCACTGTACCTTCCTGGGAGACTTTTCATTAGCAATACATAGTAAGTAATAGGGCCTCTATGGCCACAGGTTTCCGTAAACATAAGAAAACCGCAGATAAGGATTTACAAGCTGTTCATTCTCTATCGTTACATTTCACGTTATTGTCTTTTTGTTTCGTGTACGTTCTTTGTCGTACTACTTGACCAATAATAAAAATGTACCAAAACCAAGATGCCAATGTTATTATATCTTCTTAGTCAAGCATTGTGAGTGGATGATTCCCCTTGCCCTTATGACATGATAACTTGTGGCAAGTCGACCAACTTTTCATTGATGCATGGTACATTGATTTGTAATTTTTTAATAGACATATTTATCAGGCCATTTCGTGAGTATTTTATTTTATTTCGGGGCATATTATCTATTACTCAATATATGAATAATAAACTTAAAAAAGTGTAAAACTATATGAAAATTAATGTGGTGTAAAAACATTAAAATGTTTTAAAATTCTAAGATGTTATTACTGATGAACAGAGAGATATTCAGTATGAATATGGATATTCTCTACTACCCCTTAAGAGATTTTAATGTATATTTGAAACACTTTTTACACAGTATTAGTAAAAAAAGGATTAAAGTCTTTATGCGTGAAAAACTTTTTTAGCTGCACTGCAATTAACATAACTGCATTTGAATTAATGTGTAACTGGTTGAGTGTCAACAATCGGTTGTGAGTTGAATCTTGTTTGGTACGAGATAAATTATCTGTACTAATAAGTCAAAAACACGGTAAAAATTTAGTGCCTTTACCGAAACGAATTTGCTCTGAAATGCGTACAAAGCAAATATTTCAGTTACTATAAAAAAATACACATATTATATATATACCGTTCCTATGATCGCTGTAACAGTCTGCTGTCCGAGAGTTAAAACATAACTTTTTCTTTGTATATAGTCGTATGGAAAATAGTTCCCAAAACACCAGAGTAAAGGCCTGATTTGTTATTTAAAAAATTAAATAAATCGCTTTTCTTACATTACACGGAAATACAAATTTCATTGCACACATATTATCGATATAACAAATTAAGCATATACGCCATGTCAAATAAGTATTATTTTTATGTACATTCAAAGTTAATGTCCTGAATAAATTATTAAATGTATTACTTCCTAAGTGGCACTTTTTGTCTTACGTTAATCATACATGTATGTGATAAAATATTGCAAGAGAAATTGAAAATTTTAATCATACAAATAGAAAATAGTAAAAATAAAATAAAAAATATACGTATTTTTATTACACTTTCCTAAGGACGAAGGAAATTTTGAACACCAACCAAAGTGCTCATCAACTTCATATTAATAAATATGTGCATAAAATGATATACATATAATCCAATATATCCTATTTTTAATCAAGGGATAAATGGACACGAGAATCATTAGCTGCTAATTTAACAAGTGTTTTTTTCACTCGAAGAACAGGTAAACGTGCTGCTGATTTTCCATGCCAACATTCTTTCATTAATTTTCCCAACCCGGCCAATGTCTGTAACACATAACGAAACAATTAAAATATTTCCTCAAAAGAATCATTAAAAAATAATTTATAGTACATAATGTAATGTTATAATAAAAAAAAACATGATGATTGAATTTAGTAATATGCACAGTCTGTTTTGTTTTTATATACCATATTTGGCCAAACTGCGGCTCTCCTACGTCTGCAATGTGGCTCTCTTTAGTCAAGGCCAAAATAATATCATTAACATAAACAAATTCTGTAATGTGAACAGTAAAAGTTAACAATATTATATAATTCGAAGAAAACAAAATACTACGCATTTTATGATGAGAATCTTTATATTCAACAATGAAATTTATTAAATCGTAGCACCGTTCCCAGCTAACAAATGAACATTTTTAGCTGAGCTTACTTTTACGGCACTAATGAGTTAGATTTTCAACAATTCGCGGCCAAGATACAAACACATACAGCAACTGCATCTACCAGTAAAGAATATAAATTTTGTTTAAGTATGTTTAATGCACATAAATGTATTTTTTTAGAATAAATTTTAAATGAAAATAAAGACCGTGAAATTTAAATATTACATAATTAAAACATTTGTCTAATTGCGGCTCTCGAAATTCTGAGTTTAGGATTTGCGGCTCTTGTCGGAATAAAGTCTGGCCAAGTATACTATATACTCTAATAACAGTGTTGGTTACAGTATTCAAGTCATTAACACGTTCCGTGCCACGGAAACTTCGGTCATGTTTTGCTTATGAACTGGATTGATTTTTTAAACAAAATATTAAGTTATATTCAAGTTTTTGTTAATTTTTATGTATTTTAATATTGTTTCTTTATGTTTTCGGTGCTTTGTAACGTATACCGCTATTCTCGATTATGTGTCCCTTAAAAATATTTTTTTACAAAAATTGGCGTGTACCATATATGGTACATGTGGCACTGAACGTGTTGACGAAATAATTTTTTTAAAAAAGATATGTTAATTACAGGATCAGAGTGCCATCTATTAGGAAGCGGTGGTCTGCGATGATCCAAGCACACTAATTTTCGCATTTCTTCAGTGGAAGGTTCTTGGTTACTAGGAAGCCACTCAGAATATGGTGCCATGTATTCAAGTGGAACACCATTGCTTATGCATCTTCGACAAACTTCCCAAAGTATTAGTCCTAAGCTATAAATATCCGCCCGCCTAAAGTTTTCTAGACACTCCACATTTATCCTGAAAATACAATATACATAACTTTTAATAATGCATCAAATTATTATGTACATATATAATTATTACATATTAAATAATAATTACTGCATATATAATTAAGTTACTATTATATAAAACCGATTACTTAAATAAAATCGCCTAAATATGTTGTCTGTCGGATACCTGAATGTTATGTGAAAAACAATTGTACTTTTGCAGTATTTCCTAATAAATTTGATATTTTCATACTTATGATTCATACTTATGATTATAGTTATAATATTAGAATATTAATAAGCTGTAGATGAAGTAAATACAATCAAGACTTGTAAATATTACAGTGTTTATAATTCTATAAATGAAAATTAAATATGATTAACAGTATCCAAAACCCAGACAAGTAGAAAATATTTGGTAATGCTGTAAAAATGCACATTTTGAACAACTTTTTTCTCTGACATCGATGTCGCTCTCTTTTAATTTCCAAGATAAGCATAAAAAAGTTTTGATAGGAGTGCATTGAATTCTATACAGTGTATCTAGTAATTGGAACAGGCAGATTCGTGTTGAAGTTCTTTGCATCATTTTATTTACTTATTAACTTATAATTTAAAGTCTAATGGTAGCAAAAGTTTTTCGCGAGTATCTCGAAAATCAGAAATTAATAACTAAGTGCGGCTGAAATTTGATTTATAGTATCCTCTCCCCCTACATTGTTCCCACCTCAAAATTTTCATTCTTCTACGTTAGTTGAGCTATACCGTACTATATACAAACACTTTAAGTATACAGGAAAGAGTTGCATAGAATAATGCCCTTGACAAGGTATTTCAAAGTCAACGAAATTGGAAGTTCCTTTCTTTTTCTACATGATTACCAAATTAATCGCGCCTAACAAATTTTTCATCATTTTGTTCGGACGCTCATTTAAAAAATGCTCACATATACTGTACGTCCTCAAAAATTTCATAACGAGAAAACGTCAATTTTATGAAACGTAGAAGCTTTTTGGTAAACTTCTCGAAAACAGCCTACTTCTCCGATTTACATAATCTTTGGATATGTTGTGGAAATCGACGTTTTCAACAACTTTTTTTTATATATGTAACTATCGGTCTCGCTTAGCTTTCCAGATATTTGCGAAAAATTGTCGGTGTCGGTTCAACAAATTTTGTCTATAACTATGCGTTTATGATAACATATATTGGTATCCAACCGTGTCTGGACAGTCATACAATAAAATGTAAACACAGGGAAAATTATTGTTGACAATTAGATTATACAGATTAGTATGATTAGGTCCAGTTATTCTTGGAGTGGCAGTGCAGGGGGAGAGACTCTGCACCTCCGCCATTCAGACTTTTATTTCATAATCTAATGATTTTTTATGAACATCTTAAAAACGAAATTTTTGTAAATTTTTTTGTTTAATTCTTGGTAATCATAAAGCAAACACGTTGGCGGGGGAGAGATTCTATTACTATTTGTATATACAATATACAAATCTGTTTCTTTATTCTGCTTTGTATAATCAATACATACACTAGTGAATTTTATCAAAGAAAGTATAACAGTAATTTAATTAAGATGGTTTTCATTATATTTTTAATGATTTTGTACTTTTAATTTTTAATTAAAACGATACAATAATTCTTTGTTACTAAAAAGTGTGAGGAACATTTATAAACATTCATATTTCACGTGTATTTATACATACCTGTCTTTTAAGTAAGTCGGTATGTATCATTTTAAATTCACGGGTAATACACGTGTATACGTGTATTATTTAACATATATTAAAATACACGAATAAAATATTTTGTTACGCGCAGGTTAATATATTCTTATTTTAATTCTTAATCTTGCCTCGTATAATATGCGACATAGCACTTATCCTATTTATCAGAAGAAATATATAATATATATAAACTTTCACTACAGAACATTAATTACTTTCGAGAGAGTTTTCCTTCTGCTGGGAATATTGTTACCCTCGAAAGAAGCAGATTAATCCCCTAAAATCTTAATATACTATTTTTTTATTAGCCCTTTGTGGACGGAGCTAGCCGGCAAATGAGCGTCGCTTTGAACGAAAGGTATTGGGGCACGCAGCTGAGAAAATATATTTTTTGTAAAAATCCAAGAAAACATGTAATTTTGCTATATTTATGTGTTCAGCGTGCACAATGATTTTTAAACTTTAGATTTCAAAGTTAATTATATGTACGCTTCGAGCGGCAAATTAATGGCACTCGAATATTTGGGGTTGGTGCAAATCAGTCTACACTTAATTTTAAAAATAAAATTTAATATTAAACTTAATATTTTGGTACAGTGTTGTTGCACGAGCGTTTGTTTGATGCTTGAATTTATAAGAACTGGTGAGTGTCGAAAAAAAATATTCCTAGCGGGACTTCAATGGTCTTTTTATCTCAGGTATCGGTTAAGGTAAACAGTAATAAGGGATGACCTGTAATCCCGTGATCTACCTAAAGTTTTCAGTTAGGCAAGGCCAGATCGAAGGCACAAAAAGAATGGAAAATCCCGAAATTGTTAAGCTGGTATATGCCTTTACTTCGGAAAGTATAATTGCTGTCTAACGGTCTCCTCGAACAATGATGCTTCCTAACATAGCTTGCATCTCGCCGAGAACCAAACATAACATCCGAAACATGTTATTACAACGTAACATTATGTATTGATAGTTTTATACTCTTGCATGGTGTGTAACCTTTCGAGGCAGTCGGCTGTATGCCAGCCCGGTTTAACCGAACAAGTAGCACAATAGTACCTCAATTCTCTTCTTCCACTTTTGACTTTACGACTGGAACATACACAATCTTTACTCTTTCCTGTATCACCTTGCCGAATGATGTACAAAAGACCGTTCAGCCTTTCTGTTGTTCCAGAAGTAGATAAATTGTTTTTGGCATTGCTGTCACGAAAGTCTCTAATTAATTGATCTACCAAGCGATATATGAATTGCAAATACACCATTGCGGTTTTATTATTGGTTGTTGCTTCTCCGCGTGTTCTTCTAGTCATGTTTTTTATAGTTGATGTAGTATAAGTGCTGAGCATGGTCATTCGTTTGTCATTTCAAGCCAGTAATAGTATATTCTTGCGTCTGTAGGCAATGTGATTGCATTTCTCACAATTTTTGGAATTTTTATTCCATTTGGAATAAATTTCCTATTACAAGGATCACTCCAAAAGCTTCCGGTCTTAAAAGAACATTTTTTCCAATTTTTTTTGTATTGTTTTTCGAAGTAACCTTCTTTGGAATGAATACACTTTCCCATTCCTTCAAACCGCTTATTCAGACAATTTTTCCACCCCTATTTTGAAATCGCCTCAATTTCACTCAAAAAAGCAGAAACAGCTTCATCAGGGGACCCAAATTGTTTTCCTCGCAGTTTATCTTTAACTATAGGGAATAAAAAGAAATTGCAGGGGGTCAAATCTGGACTGTACGGTGGGTGCGGTAGAATTTTTATGCGCGAGGACTCTAAAAATTCAAGAGTTCTAATGGTCGCGTGGGACGAGGCATTATCGCGGTGAAGAAACATGCCGCCCAGTTCTGTTTTCCGGTGTCTCTCGTTGATTACAACGAAGACTTTCAGCAGACAAACAGTGAGTATACAACTCTGCTGTTACCATATGCCGATCTTCAAATGAGACCTCCGTCAAAAATCCTCTCCCAGTAAAGAAGCGCGTAATTATTTTCTTTCCGACGTTTGACTCTTGACGGCGTTTCCCCAGTTTCAAACATTCACACTGACAATTGACGTTCGGTTTCGGGATCATATTGATAAATCCAGGATTCATCCCCAGTGATGATATCTACAATTTGCTTTGAATGCCCACCTTTAAATTTGCGAAGCATAAATTGGCACCATTCAACTCTCACTTCGCTTTGAGCTTCAGAGAATGAATGTGGCATCTAAAGGGTAAAAATTGTTCTAACGCGTAAATGCTTATGTAAAATCTTATTGATTGTTGATGCACCAAAGTTTAGGATTTCCTGAATTCCAAGAAATGTTAGTCGGTGACTTTCAAGAAGTAGATTTTCAACATTTGGCACCTTTTCCCTACAGCTGTCGCAGGATGACCGCTCCTTTCAAATTCGTCAAATTCGTCCCGCCGCGAATAAATTCGAAGAAAGAAGAATTCACTGTACTTTTCGACGGGGCTGAATCACGAAAAGCGTAACTTAAGCGATACAAAAATTTTTGTCTTGCCAAACCGACTTGGAAATGTTCGCGTTCAATTTCTATCGTTTACGTTGTCACACTTGGACTACAATGTCTGTAGTATGTTTATACCGCAACGCAAAAATCAGACCTTTGAACTTAAGGTTCTTGGGACTCCCTCTACACGATACAATACAAATTACTTTCCTGCGATTTTTTGTTCGGCTGAGACCAGAAACTTTTGGATTGTCCCTCGTAGTTTGAATAGTTCTAGTTATGTGGTATTTCATTTTAAGTAGTGCATCACCCAAGGGAATACTTGTAAATTACCGGTTGGTGAAAATATGGTATCCTGTAGCTGCAAGGTTCGATTGTAATAAGTTTTGGTACAACTGTAAAACAATTCTTGTACTTATTGGGAGGTCAGGTTTGACTAATTTCTCAGTCGTAGGACTGTCATAATATGGCAAAATGGTTTCTATGTAACCAATATCAGCATTCGCAAGAACATAAATACTCCACTTCATTGATTTCTTTGGGTTGTACGTAATGAAGCTCACTCTCCCTTTAAATTTTACAGTCGATTCATCCACCGATAACTCCGTCATGGGTACAAAATTTGTCCTATCTATTGGTGATATATTCCAAAAATTGCTAATTTTCTGCGTCCACGTTCTGATGTTTTGCGAATCTTGTGGATTTTCATTTACATGAAGCATCTAAAATGTTTGTAAAAATCTCTTGAATATTTCGGCAAAGTAAGGGATCCTAGATTTACTATCTCTCTGATATTCCTTTAGATTCGGAAGTGGTATTGTTTCCATACTC